AACCCAAATGCCCATCGACGATAGACTGGACAAGGAAAATGTGGCACATATACACCATGGAATGCTATGCAGCCATAAAAATTGATGAGTTTGTGTCCTTTGCAGGGTCATGGATGAACTTGGAAACTAATTCTCAGCAAACCGACAAAAGAACAGAAAATCAGACACCACATCTTCTCACTCATAGGTGGGTGATAAACAATGAGAATACATGGACACAGGGAGGGGAGCATCACACACTTGGGTCTGTTGGTGGGGGCCAAGGGAGGGACACCGAGGAGGTGTGGAGGTCAGGGAGGGATAACATGGGGAGAAATGCCAGACGTAGGTGATTGGGGGGATGGAGGCAGCAAACCAAACCACATTGCCATGTTTGTACCTATTCAGCAATCCTGCATGATCTGCACATGTACCCCAGAACCTAAAATAAAATTTAAAAAAAAAAAAGAGGCATGCATTCTTAGTGGTCTGTTAGAGAGAAACATGGGAACAAAAAAGGGTCCATTTCTTCTTTCTATAAGGTGAACAACAGCACTAGCAGAGGATTCAGTGGCATTGACACTCACCGCCATGATCAGTAGGAAGCAGGGAGTCATGTGGCCAGACAGCATGAAGTGTGTGGACACCACCTGATCCAATGGGACGCTGCCTCTGCCCTTTTGCAGACTGCTTCCCGGTGGGAACACAGCTCAGTGTTACCACAGCTCTCAAATTTTTTAGGAGCCATAAATCTGGGTTGTTATGTGAAGTGTATTCCTTTCCCCTCAACGTTGTCTGAGCTAACTGTGCTAACAAACAAAACATATTATGTGAGCTGGGTCCCGCTTGTGGATGGCTGTGAATGGCTGTTTCTCTGCAAGCTTCCAACCTCCCACATCAGTCCTCAGTGAAGAGAGAAGCTCCGGGGGCACTTCCAGAGAAGGTGGAGATGCGCACATCTAAGTTTAAAGCAAAGTGGAAATGAAAGTGGACAAGTTTACACAGAAAGCATGTTGGGAAAGTGAGGAGTTCTCACTGATGAGTGCTACCCAAGCACCCTCACAGGGATTCAGAGGAGCAATGCTTCTTTGCCCTCTAACTGGCACTGCCTTGTCACAAATAGCAGCCCAGCTTCTAGAAACAAGAAAAGAGGTAGCTACTTAAGGCATTTCCTGGAGCTGCAGACTGTTTGAGAATAGTTTAACCATGTCTGTCCCCTTCGCGGTTTCACAGATTCACCAGGTATATGATGCTCTTTCTGGCTGAGTTCTATGTGCAGAGCTGATGCATGAGGACAGCTTATTCTCCCTGCCTTGCCTCAGAAACATTTGTCTGCATAGGTAATGCAGCTCTCCCTTTAGGTGGGAGGGAGGGCCTGGGTCAGCATACCTGTGTCTGAGCTCAACATATACTACATTCATCCCAACAAACTCAGCATTACCCTCTGCCAACACTGTTTGGGGTCATCTTTCTGATTTGGATTAGCCTGTTTACACAAAAATTGAAAATATTATCCTAATTGAGCCATTCTCTTCTGCTCTCTTTCCTTCTCCTCCTTGAGTTTTCTAGTAGTGGCTTTATCACAGGAACTCTTAATTTTTCTGAACTCTTTCTTCAAGGGTGCAGGGAATTTAAAACATACTTTATTTCATGTGTATTTTTAAAACTATATACTGTAATGTAAGTAATAGAAGTTAAAGATAATTGCAAACTATTCTTGATTTTACTAGTGTTTTATTAACAAATCTGCCTAATCCAGGATTAAAATTGAGTGAGATTAGAGGATTTTTCTCATCTGCAGCTTGCAGCAAGAGATTCTATGTAATAAACGTGCCTCTTTGCTTGACATAAAGCCGTCCTGTTATATTTCTGGCAGTGCTGAGTGAGACCAACTCTCACCTGCTCTGCAATGCACATGTACGTTGATAGGCAAGGGGTGCCCAGCACAGTTAAAGGACTGAGCCTCCCTGTTCCCCTCAAGGTGTCAGGATGAAGGCCTCTTTCTCTTTGCTTCTGTACTTTAAGCTTCCTTTCCATAACATAGGACAGTTCTTCTGACTCTAGCATTTCATTTCAACATTATATCACAGGGCATGTTATTTCAGGAAAACAGGTAGTGACTGCAGTATAAAGCACCTTCTGCCTGGTGCTACTGGTTTGTTCCACTGATTAGAGCATCATTGACAAGGGGAAGGTCATAGGGCCTCCATTTTTATGGGGACCAGTCCACAGTTTCCTTCTGCTCCATGGTCTGTAACTGTACCTGTAGTCCAGACCAACTGATGCTGTGAAAATGTCACCATCCAAAGGATGACAGAAACTCAGAGGTTCTCTCCCGTGGGCAGTGGACAGCAGGGTCATATCCATCCACAGACTATGTTACTTTATGAATAGAAAGTCACCATTAGAGGGAAAACGCCATGTCAATCAGCAGTGACTAAAGACAAAGCAGGGCTAGGTCATCCCACAAGCCAGTGACTATGCACCTAGTCATTTTCCTGGCCTCAACCTCAATCTGAACATCCTGGGAAGACACATCCTCATGCTTATTTCAAGCACACACACAACTTCCCCTGTCACTTTTGATTCTATGTTTCCTGTTGTAATGTCAATAATTATTGGTGAATGAATGATGTGTATGCATTACGTGTGCGTAGGTGTATGCAATGTTTATTTTGTGTGTACCTGAACTCATTCTTTAACTCCTACTTTCACCCCAAAACCTATTCACCCAGGCCTAAGTCTTCTGTCCAGGAATGAGTATACCATCCAGTAGTTTACCCAAGTAGGCACACTAGCTGTTACTTTCTCCACTCCTTTCTGTCCTCAGTCTTCTGTATATAATTCATCTCAAAATGCTGTCAAATTTACCATCAAAATGTCTTTCAACTGCCCCTTCCCTCCATTCTTCCTCTCACTGTTCCACTTCAGACCACAGCCATCTCTCTCCTAGATAGCTCCAATGGCTTCCAGTTGGACTCTCTGCTTCTGAAATGCTGGCCTACCACCTCTTGTCCGTTCTCACTATTGCTCCCTCATTGATCCACTGAACACAAACCTGACCTTTCTACTCCATTGCTCAAAAGTCTTCCCTGGCTTCCACTCCCCTGGTAAGAGATTCTAAGCTCCTCAGCATAAAACATAAAAACCATCAAGATCTGGCCCTGGCTTCCACACTGGCCTCAGCTCCTGCCTCCCACTACGAAGCATTCCACTTTCAGCCACATCATCTACTCACCATTCTTGGAACATACTGAGATCTCTCAAGCCTCCAGAAACTTACATGTGTTAGGTTCCCTGCTAGAATCCCTTTTCCCATCTTATCCACATAGGAGCTTTCTAATCCTCCTTGGAGACCTGTATCCAAGTGCCAACGTTGCATCCCACTCGGGAAAAGCCAGCCAAACTTACCTCTGGGAGGTGGAGGCATTGGTCCTAGCACTTGCCTACCTGTGTCACTTGCTCAGCTAAACGACCAGAACTCATTCACCTTTGTATTTCCAAGGACCACGAGCACACAGGGAGGTCCCATTCATTGAGGCTGCCATTAGGTGACGAGTATCTACCATGTGCTAGCAGTAGCAAGTTAAAAGAAAATTGGCTGCCATTACGGTACTAAGTCATGAATAAATTCTTATATCTGTGTGTTGTCTATATAGTGAGCAAGAGTTAAACTATAAATAAAAGAGAAGTATCAATAAGCAAGAAAAAAATAGTCTCCATTCCCCAACCACCAGATTTTCTACTTGTAATTTAGTGGATGAAATACTTAATAAAGAGAATTTTTTTCACTTTAATGAGGTGACTCAGCATATAGATTGGTAACAATAATGATGATAAGAACAGGTAACATTTTTGGAGTGCTTGTTATGTTCTAAGCCTGGTTCTGAGAACTTTACATGTATCAGCCTGTTTTTTTTTTCCACAGAAAAATCTTAGTAAACAGGTATTATTATTATTATCCTCACTTTAGAAAAAAAGAAACTGAGACATTTAAATGTTAAGCAATTTGATCACAGTCCTACAGTTAGTAAATATTGGAGCTGGTGTGTACCCAAGCAATGTCTTAGTTTTCTTACTGCAGATAGATGTCCTTTAACACATTCGATATTGAGAAGATATGGACTGTGATGTATCTAAGTCCATGTAACAAGGAGCTACCTGAACTTTAAAATAATGTGAAGGAAAGGTGGTAAGTATATATACAACTCTAGGGATGGAAAACAAATCAGTGGTTGTTTGGTGGAGAGGGAAAGGCTGATTATAAAGGGCCACACAAGGGCATGTCGGCTCTGTAGGGTTGTGGGGTGGTGGAGGCATTTGTTAAAACTGACAGAACTGTACACAGTACGGTATGAATGTTACTGTATGCTAATTTAAAAAACACTAAAGCAGAAAGTGAAGGGATCCCAGGGTGGAATGCAGACTAAGACAAATGAATCTAACTGTATTATCAATGTATGACATAACTTCGCTGAAAAGAGGAGAGTAAAAAGGAGCTGACCTAAGTAGCTTTGGAAAGTGGTGTGTGAGCTGGACACTAAGGCCAGAGACAAAGGAATTATGTGCAAACACTACTATTCTAGTTGATAAATGTATTTCTCAGTGGCATATGGGTTGGCAATCCTGAAACTTAGTGTATGCTGGATTGAAAAAAATAAATACATTGTAGATAATAGGAGCTAATTTTCTCACTATCATAGAAAGGAATTACAAATAAGTAAGGGTGGGAGACTACAATATATCCTGGGGATAGGAGTCAGAAATGGACTCTGGACCATCTCTCCTGTGTTAGAGCCAGAGATCTAAGTGTGAATTCCTGGCTGTAGTAAGAGTGAGACAGCTATCAATCTGTATATATACATGGATTATTTTCTAGCTTTGTTCACTGAGTAGAACAAAAAGCAGTGATACCCTACTAGCAACAGGCACACCACTGCCCAGATTTTGATTTCTAAATATTCTCTCTTTTTTTTTTTTGGGAGACACAGTCTCACTCAGTCGTCCAAGCTGGAGTACAGTGGCATAACTGCAGCTCACTGCAGCCTTGTCCTCCTGGGCTCAAGCAATTGTCCACCTCAGCCTTCACGGTAGCCAGGACTAAAGGTACCCACTTCCAGGTCCAGCTAATTGTTTTCTTTCATTCTTTCTTTCTTTCTTTGTTTCTTTGTTTGTTTGTTTGTTTCTTTTTTTAGAGATGGGGTCTCCCTCTATTGTCTAGGCTAGTCACTCTTGGGCTCCGGTAATCCTCCTGCCTCAGCCTCCCAAAGTCCTGGGATTATGGGCATAAGCCACCACATCCAGCCTTTAAATACCATTCTTTAATGAAAGGAACCAGGGCTCTTTAGAGAAATGGCTGATTCTATGACCGAGAGAGGGAAATTCCATGATAAACCTGGACCAGCTTATCAAGTCAGAAACCAAGAAAGCAATCAAAGGAGAAAAAAAAAATTCAAAGTACGGGGTCAAGTCCAAAGGACCAAGAAGCCAATTAAAAAGAGCTTCCAATGGCCAAAGAGGGAACAATTTGAGTTACAAAATTAATTACAATAGTATTGAATTATAACCCCCATAATAAAATAAATATCCATGAGTCTACATTGATACAAACAAACAAATAAATAAAGGGATATATTTTCCTTATGGAAGAATTCCAAGTAATACATGTAGAAAGTCCCTTCTCCAGGAGGTAGAATTTCCCTCTTGTAGAGTGCGAGGCTAGAGGTAATGATCTGTGTCCAAATCACAGATTATGGAAATGAAAAATAATAACTTTACAGTGGAGAAAACTGGAAGAAAGCAGACACTACCTTAACCAAGTAATCAGCTTTAGCAGGTCATATACCCCTGATATGATGCAATGAGAGGGGCACCTTATCTCTGTGATATGCTTTTCCAAAAACTACAACCCCAGTCTAATCATAAGAAAACATAAGATAGACCCCAGTTGAGGGACATTCTGCAAAATATTTGACCAGTATTTTTCAAAGCTGGTAAGGTCATAGCAAACAACAAAATACCAAGAAACTTATCACAGATCAGAGAAAACTAAAGAGACCCACCAACAAAATCCATGTGATATCCTGGATTACATCTTAAAACAGACAAAACAGCATGAGTTGAAAAATTGGTGAAATCTGAATAAAGTCTTTAGTCAGCAGTATTATACCAATGCTAATTTCTTAATTTTGACAAATTTACTGTGGTTATGTAAGATGTTCATTTTAAAGGAAGCTGGGTAAATGGTATATTGGGAACTCTGTACTATCTTTACAACTCTTTATCAATCTGAAGTTATTCCAAAATGAGAAGTTAAAAAAAAACTATTTCTAATTGTTATTTCTGTAGATATGTGCATATATTGTTTTTATTTTTAAAGTATATAAAAATATTACCTACTCAAGAAATAAAATCAAAAAATAAATAGGTACTGCATTCATGACAATAAGCTTCTAAAAGTGGCATAGTTATAAATGTGCTGTCTTTCTTATTCTTCTTTATTTTAATGCATTGTTTTTAATTTCCATAATAATTCAGATTTAATCCAAGAAAATGTCAAATTGGGTTTTGAACAAATGTTGAGGAAGTTTATCTATTTCTCTTTTCTGGTCTTGAGGATTGAATGCCAATTTGGGCTAGATTCAGAAATAATAGAAATGAATCCTCTCTAATTGAAAATCATTTGCAATGCCTGAATTAGGCCCCTTCCCCTGGGCTTAACTAAGCCTAAGTGCTTATACTTAGGCAGAAGAAAGAATAGAGACAGAAAACAAATGCCCCAAGTAAACTCATCACACGGAAACTTTCAGAGAAGATGCCTGTTTCCATTGTGAAAGGTTGGTCAGAGAACTAATTTGGATATCTACTTCCTTCCAGATTTGTTTCGTGTCCATTTCGGCTGAAATATACAAATCACTGATGGCAGATAGAGACGTGAGCTGCTCTTCTATAGCAGGTAATTCTAGGTGTACAATCAGGTGTTTTGCGGCTGTCACTTAAGCAGTCCCTGACAAACACCACTGCCGATGGAGCCTGACACAAATATATGAGGCGCCTTCTGCCCATCTCTTGTGCCAAAGCATCATGCTAAACACATGGTCTGCAACAGGGCAGCATTAAGCAAATTAATGTTTAGGAATTTTGGAAATAACATTTTGTTTAAAAGGCAAGGAGTTTATTTTTCAGTTATGTTTATAGAGAAACACTGTGGCAATCAAACATGGGGGTGGCTCTCAGCACCATAAGCAGATTCCACAGGCCTCAGTTCAACCCTGCAGCCATATCTTCTCTATTCTTCAATTAGGGGATGAGACCTTGAGTCTGAGTGCCATTCTTCCTTGCAAATTCTTAGTTGTGGCATGGGCAGAAAACATGCATCCCTTAGGAAGAACCTCCCCGAGTCAGGCCTCACCTGTGTGGATGACCCAGTGAAGGCTGAGGGGACCAGCTCTGAGGGGCAGAAAGATCCAAACCATGGACACTTGTCTCTGGTTTCCCTGGGAGGAAAAGAGGATACTAGGCTGATGGTAGCCTCCTGAGTGGCCTCCCTGCTCATACCATCACACTCTATAATTTCTTCTCAGAACAGCCAAATGATCTTTATAAAAGTGTAAATTAACTCATGCCACTCCTTTGTTTAAAAACCCACCAATTACATTCACAGTCCTTGTCACAGCCTCTAAGGCTCCCATGAGCTGGCTCCTCTCTGCCCGCAGCAGCAGCCACCTTCCCTTCCCTCATTACACTTCAGCCTGCTGGCCTTCTAACATGTGAAGTCCATTCCCACCTCAGGACCCTTGCACACGCCATTTCTTCTTCCTGAAATGTTCATCTAGATCTTTTTGTATCTCTTTTTTTCACTGTAATTATTAGCTCAAATGCCATGTCTCAGAGACGTCTTTCCTGAATACTTTGTCAAAAAAAGTTTCCTCTACCCATTGCCTCCATCGCTCTCTGCTCATCCTTTAATTTTCCATAGCACTTAATTCAGCTTAAAGTTGTACTCTATATTTATTCCCAGGTTCATTAACTACCTGCCCCATTAGTATGAAGACATTTTACAGCATCCACATTGCCTAGAATAGTGTCATGGCCATCATCAAAGCTATTCACAAACAATCCAGCTCACATCCTTCCAGATACATTTAGTTATCTCATTTGCTTTAGCCAATGAGATGTAAGTAGCAGTGACACACATCATTTCTAAATGGAGCCCTTAAGAGACAGCATGTGATTAATTATGTTCCCTTCCCCTGGCTGCATGTTCTCATCCCTGCGTCTCAGGGAAGCACATGTGAAGGTGGAACTTGAGAAAAAGCCCTCTGACACCTCATATTGAAAATATATCACAGAAAAATAAATGTTTGCTATTTTATGCCCCCAAGCTTTGGAGAAGAGGTGTTGTTTGTTTCTTTGGTATAATCTAACCTATCCTAACACAGTGACTAAGTGAATAGATGATGAATAACATACTAAATAGGCAGATGATCTCAGCACATCTGTCAGTCAAAAGCAACTAGAGGCCAACTCAGATTTGCTTACAGCCAATAGCATAAGACCAAAGCTAAACCCAGAATGGAGACTGTAAGGTAAAGTAAAGGTCTTGCTGTTTTACAGGTCCAGCCTTGCTCCAAAGCCAGGGGTCACAAAGAGGATGCTTCTCAGTAAGTCATTTGCTTGGAAAAATATTACAGATTTCTCAAGAAAGCTGTGGTATAGTGGGATCTCTCATGCAGGAGCCTTGGTGGGGCAATGTGAGAAAGGAATTCAGGAACTTCTCTGGTCCCTCTCATTAATTACCTTCCTTTTAATGAATCTAAAAGCACAGTCTTGGGCATCTGCTGGGCTTGGGCTCACAACTCTACTACTTCAAGGTCAAGGTGGGCATTGACCTTGAAGCTATGTGACCTTAGGCATTTTCTCAATCAATCTAAGCTTCAGTTTTCTTCTATAAAATATGACCAATAATGCCCTCCATCTGACAAGGCAGCGAGAATTAACAAAGGGCATTTATGGCACTTATGTTGATAACTGCCACAAAGTACATGCTCAGTAAATGCTAGCTACTAATAGTATTTTCCTAAGCTCTAGAAGTCTCTCAGGTACGATCTACAGGACACGCCATTCTCTCAGAATATACCATAGTGAAACAAATGAAGGCATATTCTCCTAAAACAATCAAAATGCCTAAAATAATTTGACTTCAAGTGGAAGCACAGAAGACACAGAGAGAAAGCCATGCCATAGACATGCTACATGATTCAGCATGCCATTAAGGGACATTCACATTGTTCATATCTGTTGCTTTTAGTGTTATCACATTTTTGCACAGACCTTTTAATCTCAGAAATTAAATGTCTACTCTAGAAGGTTATAGGACTTCTCACCCTCCCTCTCCCTGGTTACATTTCCTTCTGAGACATTTAAAAAGTTTTCAGCCAAAAAAAAAATAATAATGCTGTAAAAGGCTAGGTTGAATTATATGATACATTGAATTATATGAAATTAAAATGAAATTTTAAATTATGCAGTTCAGGATGACATAGAATGAGTGATAATAAATAAGGGTTAAAAGGATGATGGCAGATCCTTTTTCATGGTTTGTATTTTCTTCCCTTTCTGTTGTTTATAAAAACCTTCTCAGAAGATTAAAAATAATATTTCTTTCCCTATTGATTTTTTCTTTTCCCATTTGGCCAACATTAATTTATTTCCTGTGTTTCTAATGGAGCTGATATCAATATAGCTTTATTTATTTATTTTATTCCGTGGACATTGCCATTACTGATGACAGCCCAAGCCTGAGGACAGCAGCCAGACAGCTCCTGAGGTGACAGAGCATTTCTGCGGTCAATAGCGCAGGATTCTGTTTCCACCAGCCTCTTCCCATTGTCTGCATGGAGAGACCTTGAGAGACGTCTCTGCCACCCAAAATTCAAGGGGCTTCTGGGTCACTGCACTATCCTGTGAAGGCTGTTCCAGATTCAGTCTTATGAGGACCCTGGTCATTTAGTGTCCTGTACTTGGAATTCCTTCTTCCCTCTTGCCCTCCCTTCCTTTAGGTCCTAGCTCAGATCCTGTCTTTTGAGATGAAGATTGCCAAGATCTCTTTTTCATGTGGGACACAAACCTCCCAGCAAAATAAGTTGCTAATGTATTCAACACACCTTTGATAAGCCAGACCCTGGGCCACACGCTGGAGATTCAACAGTGAGTAAGACATAGCTCCCGCTTCTGAGACTATCCAGTCCAGTTGTGGAGACACACAGCCATGGTGCTGCAGTGCATGCTCCCCTGCAGGAGAACAGAGGAGGAGCCCAATCTGCCAGGGCATCTCTCCTAGGTGGGGGTCAGGGAAGCTTTCAAGAAGATGGCATCTGAGCTGAATCTCTAGGTTTGTTGCCTTCTTAGGAAACAAAGGAGTAAAACCAGGAAGTTAGGAAACAAGAGTTACAAGGACTTTCTCAAATTAGCACATCAAGCTGACCATGCCAGGACTGAAACAGAGGTTCCCAGATATGGTTGCCCAGCCTCCTTCCACTTCAACCCTAGCTTTCTTATATTGCAGATATTACCTGTTAGTTAAAACATGGTTCTGGGTTTATTAGTTATGCTATTTGATAATTTGCATATAACTGTGTCTTTTTTGAGACAGAGTCTCATTCTGTCACCAGGCTGGAATGCAGTGGTGCTATCTCAGCTCACTGCAACCTTCCGCTCCCTAGTTCAAATGATTCTCCTGCCTCAGCCTCCTGAGTAGCTAGGAGTACAGGTGTGCGCCACCACACCCAGTTAATTTTTGTATTTTTTTTTTTAGTAGAGATGGGGTTTCACCATGTTTATCAGGATGGTCTGGATCTCTTGACCTCGTGATTCACCGGCCTCGGCCTCCCAAAGTGCTGGGATTGCAGACGTGAGCCACCACGTCCAGCCAATTTGTATATAATTTAACAGAATCTTCTGGAGTCAACGCTAAAGCTCAGAGGAACTACCCTAGTGGGGATTTCCAGCATGTGGGAGAGAAAATTTGAGGGTAATTCTCACATTTGATGTGGCTGTCATCTACTTGCACAGTGCCCTCAGCTCACCATCATTAGGGCGCTGGGGCTCTCCAGATAGCCTAAGACTCTATCTGTTCACACAGACATGAGAAGAGTCCCACTCCTCACCCCAGAGCATCAGCTCTCTCCACAGGGATGGAGTTGGCCAGGGGCTGACTCTCCATCTCTAAGAAAGAATTCCTGCTTTTTTTTTTCTTGCTTTCCTCTCTTACCATTCCTTTTCTTGTAGAACCTTCTGCTAAAATCTGAGGAGAAACTGTCTCCTCAATGGACCTCTCTGGCTGGGCTCCGTGGCTGACGCCTGTAATCCTAGCACTTTGGAAGCCCAAGGCGGGTGGATCATTTGAAGTCAGGAGTTTGAGGCCAACCTGACCAACATGGTGAAACCCTGTCTCTACTAAAATACAAAAATTACCTGGGCTTGGTGGCATGTGCCTGTAATCCCAGCTACTAGAGAGGCTGAGGCAGGAGAATCACTTGAACACAGGAGGTGGAGGTTACCATCAGCCAAAATTGTGCCAATGTACCCCAGCCTGGATGACAGAGTGAGACTGCATCTCACTAAAAGGGGGAAAAAAAGGGGCTTCTCCACCAGCTCACCAAGACCTTATCTCTCATCAAAGACATCTGTATCAGTTAAGGAAATGTTGGCTCCTTTAACAATCAAAGGAAAAAGAATAATGGCTCCCAGCACTTTAGGGAGCTGAGATGGGAGAATTGCTTGAAGCCAGGGGTTCAAGACCAGACTGGTCAATATAGTGAGACCCCATCTCAGTTACAATTTTTTTAAAAAGAAGTTTCTTTCTCATTCAAGATAAATCCAAAATGGCTGAATCTGATTGGCAAATGGGTTCTCTCTCAAAGCAATGATTTAAGTATCCAGGCTCCTTCTATCGTGGTTCTGCTATTCTCACATGTGGCTTTTGTGATCACCATGTTTGCCTGCATTAGGTTAACAGGAGAAAGAGCACTGAAAATCGTGCAGAGGATGATATAGTAGCCCAGCCTGGATACGGTACACATCACTCCCACTCTCGTTTCAATTCTAGAACTTAGTCACCTGGCCATATCTAACTGTTAATATTCTAGTTGTGTGTCCAAGAAAATGAGAAAACAGTTATGTTGAACAACTAGCTGGTCTCAGCCGAAACATATAGCCTTAGAGTACAAGGGGAACTCAGTAAAAAATAGCTATTATTCTCTGAGTACAACTGTGGGCATAGGGGCTGGCATGATCTATTTTCTCCCTAAAAAGAATGGATGGGTTCATACAACAAATAAATCATGAAGTTGAGTATGTCTGATGCCAAAGTCACTAGGCTATGTCATATCAACAAGACAACTTAGAAAAAAAATAATAAACTCCCTGCTCTCAAGGAACTTAGAGCTGAGAGGCAATTAGATGCTCACTGAATCAGAGTTTACTACTTATTCCTAACTTGAAAAAAAAATCATTTTCACTTTTTCACCAGTGTTAAGACTCTGCACAGTCTGGGTATCAGTTCTTATCCAAATCCCTAGTAGTTGATGCTGGTGCTTCTCACCAAATATTTCTGGCTCTCCCCACTTTCAGACATATGATAGAATTACACTTTCCTAACCCTTTAGGTTAGTTGTGACTTCCTTGAGCAATAAAATGTAGATGGAAGTAACATGTCACACTTTTAGAAGGAAAATTAAAGAAGCTGGCACATTTGTGAACACTCTTTTGATATGGTTTGGCTGTGTCCCTACCCAAATCTCATCTTGAATTCTAGTTTCCATAATCGCCACATGTTATGGGAATAAGCCCCATTTGCTGAGCACTTCTCCTTCCTGCCGTCATGAGAAGAGGGATGTGTTTGCTTCCCCTTCCACCATGATTGTAAGGTTCTTGAGGCTTTCCCAGGCATGTAGAACTGTGAGTCAATTAAACCTCTTTTCTTTATAAATTACCCAGTCTTGGGTATGTCTTTATTAGCAGTATGAGAACAGAGCTTTTTATACCTCTTTTCCTCTGTGACTACCAGCAACATTCAAGATGGTAGATACTCTATCAGCTTGGTTCCATGAGTAAGGAGGCATGGTGCAGAGTTCCCAGCCAACCTGTGATGGACCTGTGATATGAGCAGGCAAAAGACACTTATTAAGAACTACTAAGCCTTTGCTGTTTGTGTTACTGCAGTATAACCTAGCTCATTCTAACACATTCCTCCCTGAATAATATAACACATAAAATTTTAAATCTATAATTATTTAGTGGAAATAAAATAAAATAGAGTCCTTTAAGGCAAACAAATTATAGTCATGTGCCAGATAATGACATTTCAGTCAACTTCATATACAAGGGGTTTTAATAATATATGACAATGCATATTATGAAAAAACTATGCATGGATCAACTTTTTGCACCCAAATAAACTTGTACTTATTTGTTATAATAACCCAGTGTAATTACAGGAGTCCATATGAAAGAAAGCAGGAGACAGGTGAGTTAAAGAAGGAGAGATGGCCAGGTGTGGTGGCTCACACCTGTAATCCCAGCACTTTGGGAGGCTGAGGTGGGTGGATCACCTGAGATCAGGAGTTCGAGACCAGCCTGACCAGCCTGACAGGGAGAAACCTCATCTCTACTAAAAATACAGAATTAGCCGGGCATGGTAGCGCATGCCTGTAATCTCAGCTACCCAGGAAGCTGAGGTAGGAGAATCGCTTGAACCCGAGAAGTGGAGGTTGCGATGAGCCGAGATCACACCATTGCACTCCAGCCTGAGCAACAAGAGTGAAACTCCATCAGAAGAAAAAGGAAGAGGAAGGAGGAGGAGGAAGGAGAAGAAGAAGGAGGAGGAGGAGGAGGAGGAGGAGAAAGAAGAAAAGAAGAAGAAGAAGGAGGGGAAGGGGGGAGGAGGAGGAGAAAGAAGAAGA